GATGCCTGGCTCGAGAGCAGTACGTGTGAAAAAGATCTTGGAGTCCTCGTGGACAACAAGTTAAACATGAGCCAACAATGTGATGGGCAAAAAAGCCAATGGGATTTTGGCCTGCATCAATAGGAGCATAGTGTCTAGATCTAAGGAAGTAATGCTACCCCTCTATTCCGCTTTGGTTAGACCACACCTGTAATACTGTGTCCAATTCTGGGCACCACAATTCAAGAGAGATATTGACAAGCTGGAATGTGTCCAGAGGAGGGCGACTAAAATGATCAAGGGTCTGGAGAACAAGCCCTATGAGGAGCGGCTTAAGGAGCTGGGCATGTTTAGCCTGAAGAAGAGAAGGTCTGAGAGGGGATATGATAGCCATGTATAAATATGTGAGAGGAAGCCACAGGGAGGAGGGAGCAAGCTTGTTTTCTGCTTCCCTGGAGACTAGGACGCGGACAATGGCTTCAAACTACAAGAGAGGAGATTCCATCTGAACATGAGGAAGAACTTCCTGACTGTGAGAGCCGTTCAGCAGTGGAACTCTCTGCCCCGGAGTGTGGTGGAGGCTCCTTCTTTGGAAGCTTTTAAACAGAGGCTGGATGGCCATCTGTCAGGGGTGATTTGAATGCAATGTTCCTGCTTCTTGGCAGGGGGTTGGACTGGATGGCCCATGAGGTCTATTCCAACTCTTTGATTCTATGATTCTAAGATGGCAATGGTTTGGTCAGTGATATTGATGCAGAGAATGACAGAGACACAAAGTGTAGTTTCCCATGAGAATGTTCTTATAGGGCTGATGATTTACTCCCTGAATTGCTCCCAGAGAGTTCCCAGGATTTGGGGCTTGAAAACAACTCGGCACCTGCAATAACTAATTAGCATATAGATAGACGGGTGGAAATTAGTCAAAACAGACAGGCTGAGCAATGCCTTCAGCATTCTGCCAGGCTTCAACAGAAAAATATAAGGGCCGCTCAAGCAAAGCGAAACCAGTTTCTGAGTGCTTGGAAAGGCTTAAAAGTTCTAAGCATGGAGAATACAGTCAGATGAACCATAGTTTAGAATCATGCTACGTTCTTGACCTCATCTTATAGAAGCCTTGCTTGGAAGATTCATGCTTAAGATTTCTTGTTTCCTGGTTTGGTTTTTTATCTCTTGTGATTACCTACTCATGCTTTGGAGCAACGATTCCTGGTTCATTAGAGAAGTGTGGACTTTGTTTTTGGACTTTGCTGAACTTTACCTTGGACTAATTTTGTTCCTGCTTATCTTCTTACCTAATTGGATTTACCTATTCCTTTAAAGTGCCTTTTTTACTTTGCTGCTTTTACTTATCTTCAATAAAAGGATAGTTTTCCATACTCAACGTGTGGTGCTTTAAAGTCAGAGGGTTATTCCTGTCCTGGAGTGCAACAGTTTTTGACTTGATTTGTTGTTTGTCTGTTTGTAGCATTGAATGTTTGTCATTTTGTTACTTGCTGGAAACCGCCCTGAGTCCCCTTGGGAAAATAGGGCAGATTACAAATGAAATATTACTATTATTATTTGATACACAACAAGATTAGTACACAGCAAACAAGATCACTATGCTGGCTTTTGTATTGGATCACATGTTGGACACTTCCCAAGTGTCTAGGACTGTGTGATGTATCGGCGAATGATGATGATGATGATGATTAAATGATCTGTCTGAAGCACCCATCGGAATTAATGAATTACTCTCATCCCTCCAAATTAATCTTGCTGAAATCCAGGAGGCAACTATAATAAGAGACTGTGCATCAACACTCCATACTGACAAAGAGAGAGGAAGAGTGGATATGATCTTCACTGCACGACAGCTCCAAGAAAAATGCAGGCAACAAAATCAACCTCTGTAGTTGGCATTCGTTGACCTTGCAAAGGCATTCATCACAGTGAATTGCAATGCTCTCTGGACCATCCTCTTAAAAATTGGATCACTTGATAAATTTGTGATCATCCCATGGTAACATGATGGCAATAGTCCTGGACAGTAACAGCTCCCAAAGCGACCTATTTAAGGTGGAATCAAGTGTCAAACAGGGATGTGTTATTGCCTTAACCTTATTTTCTATTTTCATCACCATGATTCTACATCTTGATGGGAAGCCTCCCATCGGTGTGGAAACCACCTATTGGACAGATGGTAAACTTGTATTTAACCTCAGCAAGTCAAAACTAAGGTTGCAACCACTTCTGTTATAGAACTCAAATATGCTGATGATAATTTACTCAGTGGTCATTGAGAGGAAGACCTACAAGCTACTCTAAACATGCTGTAATTCTGTCAATGATTGTACCTAATGCCAACGAGGAAGTAGATGTGGATGATGGGATTTCTGGGCCTGCTGAACCTGCGAGCCTGCAAGAGATTTTAAGTCCTGAAATTGAGCATTCTGTGTCTCCTGTAGTTAGTGAAGGCCACATTCCAGAGAGGGGTCCTGCTTTCTTTAGGGAAGTGAATTCAGAAGATGGAGAGGCTAATGAGCCAAAAGATAGGAGGCACAGCTTTAGTAAACTCTGAGCTGATTCTCAGACTCGCCAAAGGTCAATGTGCTTGTTATAGAAAAGGCTGTTACCTGTTTACAAGTGTAAACAGAATGACTTCATGGCCTTATTAGAGACACGAAAAGGATTTTTCAGCAGTTTGGTCAATGTTGGATTTTAAGCAACATCTTGGGTTGAGCTCTAGCCAAACTTTTCAAGGGACTTCTACTTTCATGTCTTCAGCTGTTCAAGTTTAAAGGATTATTCTTGAGTTGTGTTGTGCATTTTATGCTGCCTTGTTGTATCCTGATATATATATATATATATATATATATATATATATATATATATATAAAAATAAATAAAATCATTCCTGGTTTTTGGTTCAACTTTTTATACCTTGGATTTTATGGACTATTGAATACTTTTGGACTTACTATTTTGTTTCTTACTATTTTGCTGCTATACTTTTTATATATTCTACAATAAACTGCTTTGCTGATTTATACTGTACTGGCATGTGGTGGTTAAGTACAGAGGTGCTCCTGCCTAGGAGTACAACGAAACGCCTTTGTAGAAGCATATGTAAAGCTTGGCCTTTCACTGAACATGGAGAAATCCAAAGTGTTCTACCCGCAGGCACCAAACAATCCCTCTGCGATGCCAGTAATAAAGCTTAATGGTGTAACACTAGAAATGTTGACCATTTACTTTACCTAGGCAGCCACTTCTCCACAAAGGTTGACATTGACTCCAAAATACAATCAGAGCTCTGTGAGTGCAGCATTTTTTTCCAAATGGAGCAGAGAGTGTTTTGGGATCAGGACATTAATAGATACCAAGGTGCTTGTTTATAAAGCTACTGTTCTTCCAACTCTATTGTATCCCTGCAAAACATGGACTGTCTGTGATCGTCACTCTCGACTTCTGGAACGATTCCATCAATGTTGTGGAAGAAGTAAAGACCACCAGCACTGAAACAATGATCCTCTACTATCAACTTTGCTGGACTGACCACATTGTCGAAATGTCCGATCATCATCTTCCAAAGCAGTGACTTTATTCTCAGCTCAAAAACAGAAACCAGAATGTTGGTGGACAGCAAAAGAGATTTAAAGATGGGAATAAAAAAATGTGGAATAAACACCAAGAACTGGGAAGCCCTGGCTCTCAAGCATTCTAACTGGAGGTCAGCTGTGACCAACAGTTCTGTGAAATTTGAAGAGGCACAAATGGAGGGAGAAAGAGGAATGTGTCAAGAGGAAGGCGTATCAAGCAAACTCTTGTTGTGACTGCCTTATATCTGGAAATACAAAAGACCATGCAGATCCAGAATAGGTCTCTACAGTCATTTGTGGACCCCCCACTAAGACTCTTTCCTTGGAAAGCAATCATACTTGACCACCAGGGATCACCTATGTGTATGTAGGGTTCTGTCCATCACATAAATTAATTCTGTGCAACAATGCAAATGGATCCACAAAGTGTCAGGCCTGGATCAGTTGAAAACGGAGCAGGATATAGTGAGTTAAATGCTTAGTGTAGCGTTTTGTTGTGTGCTTTCAGTGATTTCTGACTTATGGTGACCGTAAGGTGAACCTATCATGGGGTTTTCTTGGCAAGATTTTTCCAGAGAGGAATTTCAATTGTCTTCCACTGAGGCTGAAAATGATTTGTCCTTGTTCACCCTGCGGTTTCTATGGCTGAGAAGGGATTAGTCTCCTAGAGTCCTAGTCTAACACTTAAACTAGAGTAGACCCAATGTATCAATTGAATTTACTTGTGTATTGATTTACTAAGTCCACTCATATTTTCTGTGGCTGCATCTACACAGCAGAATTAATGCAGTTTGACACCACTTTAACTGCCCTGTCTCAGTGCCATGGGGAAGAGCACTCTTTTGCAGAGAAGGCTGAGGAGCTTATGAAAATACAACTGACATGAGTCCACAGCCTTGAGCCACGGCAGTGAAAGTGGTGTCAAACAGCATTAATTATGCAGTGTAGATGTAGCCTATTTAGGACTAACAATTGGATTAAGATCAGTGCAGAGACATGTCAGGCCATTCTACAATATTCTATTAACTTGATTTGAGGAAAGGAGTAGATTTACAATGATGGTCAAGATGACTTCTATATTTGAAGCCAGAAAGATCCCACATAGACAGTGGAACTATGCCAAGGTGAGCTCTTACCTGAAGGGAAGGAGCTGTTGTGGTGCAATGGGTTATACCCTTGTTCCAGCTGAACTGCTGACCTGAAGGTTGGCGGTTTGAATCCGCAAGGTGGGGTGAGCTCCCATTTGTCAGCTTGAGCTTCCCATGTGGTACCCACATGACAGTGAAGAATGGGCCTAATCCTGATCTAAAATGCTTGGAGCACCATGGCTCCAAGCATTTTAGATGTGAAAAGGATATCAAAGTATGTCCCTGTTTTAAGTGCAGCTTGACCTAAACAATAATATTACCACCAGCACATGCACACAAAATTAATAGCCAGTAACCAGAGAAAGACCCTGTTTATTTTATTTCCCAGAGCTGCCCCGGGAGAGGGAATGACAGCACCGGGGAGGGGCAGCTGGGAGGTTTCTGTATTAAAATAGCATCTTCATAAAACATGCAGCTGGCCTGGGCATGCATCCCTCTTACCCCATCCCTCCCTCCACAGTCCAGCAGCTGAGGTTGGGATTCAAACCAGCAGGGCAGCGATCCACCGCCAGAGTGAAACTCTCTCCAAACTGCCCTGCCATTACTGAATGTGAAAGGTGGAGCTGCGCATAGTGGGGCAGGACAAGGCTAGAAAATGGATCCACAACTCCTGGAGTGGACTCTCCTCTGACTCATGCCTCCTTCTCTGGGAACAGTGCTCCGTGGCTTTGTCTTTGTAATGTGTGCGATGGCTCCAGTGCAGGAATGCTGGGCTCCGGAGGGAGAGGACGCTTTCCAATTCATGACTCAACCTCTACATTGTTTTGTGAGGGAGGGGAGTTGTGGACGAAAGCCCCCTATGCCCCTGTGAAGCCACAGGAACAGAGGGCATGTCTAGTGTTGGTCAGTGGGCTTGTTGCTCAGCAAAGGGTGTTTGTCTGCATTGAGGCAAAGTGATCCTATATGGCAAAGAGCACAGATTGTGCTGGCTTTTAGGGAAAAGCCTAAAAAGGATTCCCACGTTCCTGCTAAAGAGTTAGGTGCATTCTCCGTTGCAGGGTTAAGGGCTGTACAATGGACAACTACCTATTCTTTGTTTGTTATCATGCTTTCTGTTTGCTTTGAGGGTACGGTTCTGTGTGTCTGTACCTTTTTGTCATGGCCTTGGGCTTGTACAATAAACTCAAGTTACCTATCCTATCCTGTCTTTAATCCTCAATCCCTCCTTCCTAGATAGAATATCTCTCTCCATGTGGTTGATCAGTCCTTCTTTTCCACTTGCCTGTCCATCCACACCAGGCAGCTCCTGCTCCTGGCCCATGGCAGGGATCGGGGAAAGGGGTCAACACTGCTGTGGATCTCCCACATTCCTTGCCTAAGCTGCTGCTCCACAGAGCCCTCCTCTTGCAAAGACAGGGCCTGTGGATTCAGCAGAGAAGGCTTCAAAATATTGGGTCGAGCGGGGGGAAGCATGAGCCATTATTCTGCCTTCTCAGCAGCTCCCTCTGTCTTGCTTGTCTTTTGTTCTTCCTCCTCCAGCGGGCACGGCGTCTCCAAACATTCAGCCGACCTGGGTGCTTCAATGGTGACTTCGTGGGCAACACTCATGGAGGAGCGGGGAGTGACAGGGAGGCGGCCGCTAACATCCGTGGCTCGGAGACGTTGCATGAAAGTAGTGACCCGGATGGCTTTCTGGAAGGAGACAGGTAATGTCAGAAGTTGTCAGTGACTATGTAACTTAATGGTGGCTCTGGTAAACAAGACCAAGTGCTCATTGCTTAAATGTTTAAAGAAAAGGTAAAGGTTTCCCCTTGACATTAAGTCTAGTTGTGTCCGACTCTGGGGGGCAGTGCTCATTTCCATTTCTAAGGTAAGATCTGCTCCCTCCCTCCTGGCTTTTAGGAAAAAAAATTAAAATCATGATTCTGGGATCAGGCCTTCGGACAATAGATGTATGCAGCATTTTAGAGGGACATTGACTGGAACGGCGATTTGACTGATGAGACTATTTTATTGTTTTAATGCTTGTTGATGTATTGATGTATTGTTTTAATTGTGATTTATGTTTAATTGTGGTTTTACTATTGTAATTGTTTGTATTAGCATCGTATCGGTGCCCAATGTAAGGCATTGAATCTTGCTATTATTTATGTGTAAACCGTTTTGAGTCCCCCCAGGGGTGAGAAAGGCGGTATATAAATACTGTAAATAAATAAATAAATGAGCCAAATAACCAGCATTGTCTGTAGACACCTCCAAGGTCATGTGGCCAGCATGACTGCATGGAGTGTTCTAACCTTCCCACCAGAGCGGTACCTATTGATCTCACATTTGCATGTTTTCAAACTGCTAGGTTGGCAGAAGCTGGGGCTAACAGCAGGAGCTCATCCTGCTCCCTGGATTTGAACCGCTAATCTTTTGGTCAACAAGTTCAGCAGCTCAGAGGTTTAATCAGCTGTGCCACTGTTCAAATGTTAAAAAAATGAAACTCAAATTTTGGCTTATAAGCACCGGTGGCATTGGGTCCAAGTGGCCCATAGAACTTAACACAATTGGAGTATAGTAATGCACAGTAAAATACAACAGAGCCAAATCCAGAAAATCCAAATAGCTGATTATAAAACTCTGTATGACTTGGGACCAGACTACATGAAAAAATCTCTGCTAAGGTTTTCAATATCCTGGGGAGAGTTTTCACTATTTAGAAGTCTTACTAGCGAAGGCCTTCTTCATGGTTTCCCTCAGTATTTGGAATTTCCTTACAAAGGAGACCAGCCTGCCTCTGCCTTTGCTGTCCTTCTACCAGGATGCAAAGATGTGTTCCTTCGACCTTTGGGTTTAAACCAGTTTGTTTGCTGAACTAGATTTAACTGCAATTTCAAATTGAACATTGTTTCATTTGTTTGTATCTGTGTTTTGATCCTTAGTTGTATTTTAGTCACCGTGAGCACTTAGCATTACAGAAAGGTGGGATATACATCGAATACATTAATATAATAACAAATTATTTATCAATAATTTAAAAAGTTCTACCATAGCTAATGTAATTATTTACAACGCCCCCCCCCCCACACGCACACACTTTTGCAAGACAGAGATGTTTTTCATAATCAGATGCTCTTTTAGGTCGAATGTGCTACTTGTAAGAGGTTGATCCTTTTAAAGAAGTATGCACTGTTATTTCTTTTAAAGAAGTATGAACTCTTATTTCTTTTAGAGACCTACATGTGGCCAATGCCTTTATTTAAGTCCAAGTAAATGCCACAAAGACACACAAACTTTCAGATTTTTAGAACTCTTAATAATATTTATTTATTTATTTATTTATTTATTTATTTATTTATTTATTTCCTGCACCTCTCTCCCTGAAGGGACTTAGCTTTATCAAGCTATGTGGAATAAAATGAGGGAAGAAACAGAAGACTCTAAAAATTTGGCCAATAAATCTGGTCAATACTCAATGTCAAATGTCTGTGCACCCTAGAATCATGCTACTCGCATGGTCTGTAGACCAATGCTGGGACTCCAATCTACTAGTCCCCGAAGAAAACATTCAGGAAAGCAAGAAACAGTTGTACCCAAAAGATACAAATATGACACTGTCCCCTCACAAATGGGGGAGAAGGGACTTTCTAATCCTCCACATCAGATACCGTAGCTTTAAAAGCACTGCCATAGAACTCTTCTTAGTACCCAAAATGTGTGCAGGTGTTTCTCAAAAGTAGCGGGGAGAGTAACTGACAGTTTCTTGTGACAGATTTCCTGGAAGATACAGAGTTTGGAACTATTTCCACAAGTGCCTTAGGCTCCACTTACTGCTTTTTTTGTCATTACGGTATACGTTATTGCTGTTAAGTCAGTTTTGACTCTTGGCAACCCCATAAATGAGAGACCTCCAAAACAACCTACTCAAATGTTGCAAACTCAATGCTTCCTTGGTTAACTCTGCCCTCCTCTCATTCAGTCTCCCTCTTCTTGTACGACTTCCACCTCACCAAGCATGATCGTATTTTCTAAAAAGTCCTGTAATCTCATTATATGTCCAACCTATGACAGCCTCAGTTTTCCCATTCTGGGCAGAGTTCAGGCTTGATTTTCTCCAGGACCCAGCTATCGCTCTCTTTTTTTACAGTATCCACAGAACACTCTTTCAGCGTCATGCGTCAAATATGTGTATGTGTTTGTCAAATGTTTTTGATATGGCCAATGGGCTAATCAGATTATTTGATTCCCTTTCTTTTTCACCTTATTTATTATTTATTTATTTACTGTATTTGTATACCGCCTTTCTCAGCCAATCGGCGACTCACGTCGGTTTCCAACAAATCAGTACATATAAAAACATAATACAGATTAAAACATTAAACAATATAAAACTCCACAAAAGCAATAAAAACAACATCATTAGCATCTCATTGTTATCAAGCATTGTCCAGTTCCATTGTCAAATCGTTCAATTTCCTATATTAGATGCTCTGCATTTGTAAATGCTTGCTCAAACAGCCATTTTTTAACTTGCCCCCGAAACATTAAGGGGGGGGGCAGATTTAATCTCCCTATAGCTGAGGGGCCACCACTGCAAAACTGCAAAAACGTTTGCAGTTTCCGTAGCCGAGGGGCCACCACTGAGAAGGCCCTGTCTCTTGTCCCCGCCAAACGTACTTGAGTTGAAGGCGGGACCGAGAGCAGGGCCTCCCCACACGATCTTAGAGTCCTCAATGTTTGTAAGGGGAGACACCTTCTATTCTTCACACTCACACATCAAAACTGGTAATATGACAGTATGGATAATCATGACTTTGGTATTCAATCATACATCTTTACACTAGATAAGGACCTTATCAAATTTCTCAATAGTTGTCCTTCCAAGTCCTAGTTTTCTGATTTCCTGACTGTGGTCTGCACTTTTATTTATGACTGATGAAGGATATAGAAATTCTGATCATTTTAATGTTTTCATCATCCACTTTTAACGCTATCTAAAATGATTAATGTGGCCATTGTTTGTGTTTTCTTAATGTTCAACTATAAACTTGCTTTTGGACTTTCTTCCTTAATATTCCTCAATAGTCCTTTCAAGTCTTTATAATTTTCTGCTAATAGTGTGGTGCTTTCTGCAAAGGTACCATAATTCCATACCACTGCTGTTATTCCCTGAACCACAGTGCCATTTTGGTGGGATAGGACTCACCCTCCACTTGGCCTTGGCGAAATTCTTCTCAATCTGGGCGCAGACCCCTTCCTTGAGGTTCTTTTCAGAAGCAATGTTTCCAGATATCCTAGTGGGAAAGACAATATAAAATAAGGAGTGAGAGTTCAGGAAGTCGGCGGAAGTGGGGAATTATATAAATCAAATAGAAATATTTTAATGGTGTTTTTGTTTTAATGGATTGTTTTGCTTTTTTGTCTGTTGGACTTCCTGTCCCATATTTCTGTTTGTTGGACTTTCTGAGTCCTTTCGGGGAGATTGTGGTAGGCTATAAGAATAAAGTAGTGATAGTAGTAGTAGAATAAGTTGTTGTTGTTGTTTGAAACACATTATTATTATTATTATTATTATTATTATTATTATTATTATTAATAATAATAATAATAATATTAATATTATTATAAATAATAGGAGCAGTTTTCCAATAATGGAGAGAAGATTCAGTATTTCTGCTATCTGATTTTGCTAGTCTTCATAGGTGAGAGTCTGAAATAAAAGGGCTTGGGGATGGCAAGATGTATTTTGGAAGGGAAAGGTAAATTGAGAAAAGGAGTCTGGATTGGGGATGAAGGGGCCCCTTCAGTGAAAAGATGAAAAAACAGACTATCTATTATACATTGAACAGTTATCTAGACAGGAAATCAGATTCATAGCCATTACATGTACCTAGTCCCTGTTTTCAAATAACACTATGTAATTTGGAGAGAAAAAAAATCTGTTCCTGGTTTGAAAGTGTTATTTCCTGTTGAACTGTGCTGTACTTAGTTTGAAAGTAGTTATTATACTCCAAACACTTCATTTTTGTGGGTGTCACACATTATATTGAATTGGTTGAGACTCAGTGAGATATTCATTGAAAAACTGTTGCAAAATGTGCTGCAGGATGTTCCACAAAAACCAAAGTTTTTGCAATTTAGTAAACCTTTTTCATGTTTTTATGATAGAACCAAGTAGGAAATGACATTTATAACCCAGGAACAAAAATCATGTTACACAGTGTAACTTAATCATTATATACAGGCATGGGCAAACATCAGCCCTCCAGGTGTTTTGGACTTCAACTCCCACAATTCTTAACAGCTGGTAGGCTGTTAGGAATTGTGGGAGTTGAAGTCCAAAACACCTGGAGGGCCAAAGTTTGCCCATGCTTGATTATATAGAAGTAGAGCATAACTGGAGAAATATAAAACTATAACTTGACATATAAAGTAACTCAATTGGCCAGCGCAGGATTGAGATATGAGCAGAAATAAGTAAATATATTTATTTGCCCAAGGTCACTCAGGGTTTTCATGGCTAAGCAGGAAATCTAAGGCCCCTTTTACAATACCACATTAAATCCAGATAATCTGCTTTGAACTGGATTATATAGCAGTGCAGATGCATATAATTCAGTTCAAAGCAGATAATCTGGATTATTTTATTTGATAACCTGGATTATATGGCAGTGAACAATGGGCCTAATCCTCTTCTCTACAGCAGAAGTCAAATGCTCACACTTCTATACCATATTTTTTGGCTTTTACACAACCAGATTAGATTAAAAATAGGTCCTAAAATGTTACAGGAAGACTTGTATCAAAGACTTGTATTCTTGTGTGATTTTCTCCGCAGCATTTTTTGTTACTAGAGAGCAACAAAGTAGGACAAGCTTCAGATTGTTCCCAACAGGAGTCCAAAAAATATATTTTTAGACAGGCTAAAGCTTGTTTAAGAACCTCAAGTCTGAGGTGGAGAAGCTTCAGCACCCCAAGAATTTTGAACCCCAACTCCTTGCAATCCCAATCAGCATGGGCAGTTAACTAGATTGTCATCTGCCCGGAAATTCCAATTAGTCCAAAGGGCGGCAGCCAGATTATTAACTGGAGCGAATTACAGAGAACCATCAACCCTCCTGTTTAAGGAGCTCCACTGGCTGCCATTTATTTTCCGGGCCCAATTCAAGGTTCAGGTGCTTACCTACAAAGTCCTGAACGGTTTGGGAGCCGCCTACCTGCGCGACTGCATCTCTGTCTATGAACCCACGTGACCTCTTCGATCTTCCGGAGAGGCCCTTCTCTTGCTCCTGCCCGCATTGCAAGTGCGACTTATGGAGACGAGAGAGACGGCCTTCTTTGTAGTGGCCCCCCGGCTCTGGAACTCACTCCCCTGAGATATTAGACAAGCCCCCTCGCTGGCAATCTTCAGGAGGAACCTGAAAACCTGGTTATTCCAATGTGCCTTCAATGATTGAATGTAGGACACTCCCTGACCAAAATGACCTCAGAAGCACTTTATTTTATGGTTCGTTCAATTAAATCCTTCCTCATCCCGGTTTCCCCTTCACAACAATTTTACATAGCCTATCTCCCAGTGTTTTTAAAATATTTTAAATTTTTATTCTTGAAGTGGCCCTGCCCAGTGGAATTTCTTGTGTTCGATGTTTGATTGTATATTGCTGTGTTGTGTATTAGATTGGTTTTTGCATTTTATGTTTTTGTGTAATACTGTGGTTATTGTGTTGATGGGCGTGGCCTCATGTAAGCTGCCCCGAGTCCCCCTGAGGGAGATGGAGTGGGGTATAAATAAAGTATTATTATTATTATTATCATCATCATCATCATCTGTTTTTTGCATTCCTGGAATCCATTGTATGTGTTTGGCTAATGCAAGTGCGGAGTCAGTTTTCAGAAGACATCATATGTTCCTCCAAGTAACTCAGAGCAGAATTTCCCCTTTACCCAGCCTGTCATTTTAGCCATATAACAATTGGGAAAATAGAGAAGAGTGATAGTAGTTTATCCCACATCATCCAATGTATTATAGCTAAGAAGGGCTTTGACCCAACCTCAGTATTCTGTCCTCTACAATACCAATGTGAGGCTAGCAAATTGGCCATCCCCCCCGCCGCCCCCTTTTTAGGAAGAATCCCTCTTACCAGATGTGTCCTAAAGCCTCTTGAGCTGTGATCCGTTGGTCCTGATCAACTTCCATAAGCCGTGACACCAGCTTTTTGGCTGAAAGGGGAAAAAAATACATTTACAAAAGACATAATTTGTTATTTCTTAGCCATATTTTCTTATTTGTTTTCTTATTTTCTATTTCTTTAGAGGACACAAGAGATTTATATTTAGATTCCATCATTCCTCTAATGAGCCCAAGTTGCATACACGGCCCTTCTTGCAAGCACTATGTCCATGCAACAACCCTGTAAGATTGGTTAGTCTGAGAAAAAGCTGATGGGTTCAAGATCACCCAATGTGTTTCTTGGCTTATTGGGAAACTTGCACGTAGATTGTCCAAGCCCCAATTTACAACTAGCCATGATGTTCAATTCATTGCCTAGAGACCTGTTCTTGATGTGATCAATCAAACAAATTGGTAGAATTTGGTGTGTTAGAAGAGGACCAGTTAACACCTCCCAACGAAAGATTCCCTCCGACAGGAAGCAGCCAGGCTTTGAAGCTGCAAGGCCATTCAATACTAATCGAGGCGGCCAATTGCAACATTCACACTTGTCTCAAACAGACAAGAGTTCTTTCTCTTACCTTGGACATTCCACAGATATATAAACCCCACTTGCCAGTTTCCAACAGACCTCACAACCTCAGAGGGTGCCCGCCATAGAAGTAGGTGAAATATCAGGAGAGAATGCTGCATGGCCGTACAGCCCAGAAAACTCACAGCAACCCAGAAGAGGATATTGTTTATTGAATTTGAGAAATGTATGGGATAACTATAAGTCGATAGGTGACTTAAAGGCACACACATTTGTATAATTATTAATCAGTTATTTCAATAAAAAGAAAGGCAAAGCGAAAGGGCGATTTGGGTCAGTGCTTTGTTTTTCTTACCAGCAGGAGAGATTTCATCCCAATAGGGGGAGTCAAAGTCATAATCCCCAGCCAGGATTTTACGGAAGATGCGGCGGTTGTGACTGTCACTGTTGTCATCATCTGCATCGTCATAGAAAGGTGGATTCCCAGACAGGCTGTTTGGGTGTTAGAAGGGAAGCAGGTCAGCAGCAGAAAGCATTGACCCAAGTCACCCTGAACAGAACATATGATCCCTAATGCATGCCTAAGCCTAACTTTGCCTGAGATCTGACATCAATGTGTATATAATAATGATAATAATGATGATGATGATAATAATAATAATACTTTATTTATACCCCGCCACCATCTCCCAAGGGGACTCAGGGCGGCTTACATGACGCCAAGCCCAGCAATACAATACATCAATAGAACAGAACACAGCAGTAAATCATAAAAAATAAAAATACAATACAAAACCAATTATAAATAACACATCAACAATGTAAAATCATGATGTTTAGACACAGAAGTCAAACACTATGGGCAGGGCCAATTTTAATGGAATTAAAAAATTAAAACACTGATTGAGACAGCAATGTATATCCAGAAATACAGGGGGGGGGGGGGAAGAGATTGGGAGTTGATTCCATATCCTCCAACATTTCACGGATGAAAACTAGGCAACATCAGAGAATGGTCAATGTTGTTAATGAGGAGGAACATACAAGCTAAAAAACGCTGCAGCAGTTTGCTTTTGCTCTACCCTAGAGGGACAGGCAAGAACCTGGCCCCTTCTTTCCTCACTGCTGAGATAATCGAGTGCTAACTACCTTTGCACTTTGAACTCGGTTTGCAGGGGGAAAGTGCGAGGCGAAACTGGGACATTTTAAAAGCAGCTGGAAAAGTTGGTGACAGAGGATTAATTGGGGCTCTCCTGCCACATTGGGACAATGAAAAACTTTGTGATTCTGACCACAGAGAAGCAGCTTGGTTGAAATGAGGATGTATTCTCAAATGCAGCGCACCCATCTTTTCCTCTCAGGGTTCAAATGCTGCTCTGAGGGCCCTTCCAGACAGGCCCTATATTGCAGGATCCGATCCCAGATTTTCTGTTTATCCCAGATTACCTGGCAGTGCAGATACATATAATGCAGTTTAAAGCAGAAAACATAGGATCAGATCCTGGGATAAGGCGCTGTCTGGAAGGACCCTGAGTGGCAGGTTTTGGAGCAGATCGCCAGTGCAAGAGAGCAGCCCTCTGTGCTCAATCCAAAAGGGGACTTACATGGATGTGAATAGAAGTAATGTTGGCTTTGCCACATTTACTCTATGGACTCCCCTTTGTATTTCTTTCCCTACCTCTCCCCAACAAAAGCAGACACACACGCAATAGAGAAACTTACAGAATAAACATGATAACTCCAACAGCCCAGCAATCGACAGGACGCCCATAGCGCTGCCGTGCAACCACCTCAGGAGCTGTAGGGGGAGAGACTTATGAGTCAGGCAATATTATAGGACATTTCATTCAAGAGGCAGGCTATTATTTTTCTGCCACAGATCCTGTGCTTTTAATAACTGGCTGGGTGGTAGAAATTCAATAGATAATGCTTTATTTCATGGGTCCTCAAACTAAGGCCCGGCGGATACGGGCACTCCAAGGTCATTTACGGCACTCCAAGGTCATTTACCTGGCCCTCACTCAGGGTCAACCTAAGTCTGAAATGACTTGAAAGCACACAACAACAACAATAGTCCTATCTTATCAGCCAAAAGCAGGCCCACATTTCCCATTGAATTACTAAGTTTATATTTGCTAAAATTGCTCTTCATTTTAATTATCATATTGTTTTTAAGTGTTGTTTTTTTTTTTTGCACTACAAATAAGATATGTGCAGGAATTCATTCATGTTTTTTTTTTCAAATTATAATCCGGCCCTTCAACAGTTTGAGGGACTGTGACCTGGCCCTCTGTATAAAAAGTTTGAGGACCCCTGCTTTATTTGGTGCATCAACACTTTAGAATGAATGAAGCTTGGCACCACTTTAACTGCTGTGGTTCATTACTATTCAATCACAAGAGTTGTAGTTTGGTGAGCCACCTCTTTGGCAGAGATGGCTAAAGACCATGTAAAACAACAACTCCCATGATTCCATAGCTTTGAGCTATGGTAGTAAAGAGCTGGGTATGTTTAGCCAGCAGAAAAGAAGGCGGAAAGGAGACGTGATGAGGGCCATGTATAAATATGTAAAGGGAAGTCATAGGGAGGAGGGAGCAGGCTTGTTTTCTGCTTCCCTAGAGACTAGGACGCCGAACAATAGCTTCAAACTACAGGAAAGGAGATTCCACCTGAACATGAAAAAGAACTTCCTGTGAGAGCTGTTCAGCAGTGGAACTCTCTGCCCCGGTGTGTGGTGGAGGCTCCTCCTTTGGAGGCTTTTAAACAGAGGCTGGACGGCCATCTGTTGGGGTGCTTTGAATGTGATTTTCCTGTTTCTTGGCAGAATGGGGTTGGACTGGATGGCCTACAAGGTCTCTTCCAACTCTAGGATTCTATGATTCTAGTTAAAGTGGTGTCAAACTGTGTTCATTTTATTAGAGGAAGAACTATTCCCCTTTTATCTTGGACTTTTGTGCAAGGGCATAGAATCTTTGCCAGGATAAAAAAGTTTTCACGTCTACCAAGTTCCCAGTTTCTGTGGAGAGGTCATGACATCAATTTAGAGCAGTGCAGATAGAAGAAACTGAAACGATTGGGCTTCATTCTAGAACTGGGAACAGAAGCACATACATACCCAAATATTCAGGGGTCCCGCAGGGTTCGGTAATGGCACCGTTCTCAAAACGTGAAAGATAAAAATCCCGCAACACCACCTTGGAGCGGTTGTTCTGGTTGTAATACATGAGATTTTCCAGCTGGAGGAAGCAGCAGCAGGGAGGGAGGGAGGGAGGGAGGGAGGGAGGGAGGGAGGAAGGAAGGAAGGAAGGAAGGAAGGAAGGAAGGAAGGAAGGAAGGAAGGAAGGAAGGAAAGAAACCCAATATTAGGCACTAATCATTGCACACAAACAATAGCAAGACTCATTCGAGCATCACTGAAAGAGTGCTATCCCACACAGAAGCACGAGGGGGCAGAGTTGCCCTGAATATTTTCCACTTGGGATCCAGGATGCCTTCCTTACCTTGAGGTTGCGGTGAACAATGTGCAGGTTATGCAGGTAAGCTAATGCCTCCAACACCTGCCGGATGACATTGCTGGCATCTTTCTCTGTGTAGTAACCCTGATCGAGGATCCAGTCGAAAACATCTCCACCAGTAGCCCTGCAAGGGGACACAGCTTTAAATGTGGAATGAACTAGGAAAAGGTTAGTATACCCCATTTCTCCATTGGCATTACTGTACTTCAGTGGTTCTCAACCTGTGGGTCCCCAGGTGTTTTGGTCTACAACTCCCAGAAATCCCAGCCAGTTTACCGGCTGTTAGGATTTCTGGGAGTTGAAGGCCAAAACATCTGGGGACTCACAGGTTGAGAAGCACTGCTGTAGTTGAAAGGTCTAGGCCTGAGTGACTCCAGAGCCCACATTTTGCTTTACGATGACATTCAAATCAAGGCTTTGTGACGTTATTTGGCTTAAGGGCAAGGAGTGAGTGATTTTCTGAACCAGATATCTGATCTTCAGCAAATCTATTTGATTGTTTTAGCTCTGGAAAAAGGCAATGAGGTGGTAGAAGAGTGTTTGCGCATTGAAGGGGCAGCAGAGAGGTGGAGAATCTTGTCATTATTTTATGTACTTTCAAGTTGTTTCCGATCTATGACGACACTAAGGCAAACCTATCACAAATCTTGCCTAGGGTTTCCTGGGCAAGATTTGTTCAGAAGAGGTTTGCCATTCTCTGAGGCTGAGAAAGCGTGACTGATCTCCGATCACTTAGCAGGTTTCCATGACCAAATGGGGATCTGCACCCTGGTCTTCAGAGATGTGAGTCCAGTGCTCAAGCCACTACACCACACTGACTCATATTGTTGAACTATAACTAGGACTGGGGAAAATGGAAGGAAAAAGGAAGAGGGCAAGGGCAAGATGGATGTATGTTATCCTTGAAGTGACCGACTTGACTTTGAAAGAGCTGGGGGTGGCAGCCGACGGGGAGCTCTGGCGTGGGCTGGTCCATGAGGTCACAAAAAGTCAGAAATGACTGAATGAATAAACAACAAAAAACTAGGCCAACTCTAAACTTGAGTCTAAAGCACCTGGGAGGCCAAAGGCTCCCAAATCCGTATTTGCATTGTACATGCATAAGGATTTGTGTCTGGAGGCCAAATTGGAGAGAGAAATAAATATTGCATGGCATACATGTCACACCCTTGAACTATCACCCTCAGTGCCTTTCTGAGTATGTTTAACTCACTGTTAAATTTAAGACAGTAATAAAAGTAGCAGTTGCTGCAAGCTTTAGGTACAGAAATGGAACTGGAAGAAGGAGAAAACATCTGATTTGAGAGGCGAAGAAGACAAACTCCAAAAAGTCCAGACAGAATACCATATTAGATACCCAAAAGCAGAGCTTACAAATTTCACTTTTATGGAACTATAACTAACACTTTAGGGGGAGCAACGATAGCTGGCATTTTTATTATTATAGGAACTGCAGTCCAAAAGTCACTTTCCCCAGCTTTGATAAAGCAAGCAGCCCAGTTCATGATACTGGCCAGGACTTGGCACAGGGAGAACAATCATTTATTGCGAGTGGCTTGAAAACATGAGTTGGGAGTGACCAGAAGGAACAGAAGTCCCCTAGCTGAACAACTGTGAGAAAGAAGGAATGTCAGCAGTTTTATTGTGCATGACATCTTGCAATGCTGAGATTCCATTTTCCAAACAACCAATACGGCTGTGCATTAATGCAGTTTGAGAGCACCTTCACTGACATACCTCAATGCTATAGTATCATGGGAGTTGCGGTTTTACAAGGTATTCTGCCTTCTTTGCCAACTAACTGGTGCGAATTACAGGAAGCGGTCTACCCCCCTGTTAAGGAGCTCCATTGGCTGCCGTTTATTTTCTGGTCCCGATTCAAGGTGCAGGTTCTTCCCTACAAAGCCCTTAACGGTTTGGAACCCAACTATGTTTGTGACCACATCTCCTTTTACGAACCTACACAATCCCTTCGATCCTCCGGAGAGACGTTTCTCACTCCTCTCCCCATCACAAGTGTGACTTGTGAGGACGAGGGAGAGGGCCTTCTCTGTGGTTGCCCCCCCCGGCTCTGGAACTCGCTCCCCAGAGAAATTAGGCAAGCCCCCAATCTGGCAGTCTTTAAAAGAGTCTGAAAACTTGGTTATTCCAGAGAGCCTTCAATGAATGAACAATAATCCCCGATCTTGACCAAACCCTGCATAAATGTCCTCGGAAGCACTTTACTCTGTCGTCTAGTTCAATTAACCTTGTTCCTTTGATCCTCTTGATCCACTACATGGCCTGCTTACCCAGTGTTTTAAACTTTTAATCCTTGCAATTCGTCCTGCCCAATTACTGTGATTTTATGTAGTGTTTGGTGTGTTCATTTATATTGTTTTTGTATTTATTTTTATTTTCATTATATTTTACTGTTTGTATTTTATGTTGCATATTTGCTGTACTGTTGGGCTTGGCCTCATGTAAACCACCCTGAGTCCCCTTGGGGAGATGGTGGCGGGTTATAAATAAAGTATTATTATTATTATTATTATTATTATTATTATTATTATTATTATGCCTACCAAACAATAACTCCTATAACATTGAGCTACGGTGTTAAAGTGGTCTCAAACTGCATTAATTCTGAAATGCACCCTAAGATGCAGGAGGCCTGTCCTCTTTTGCATACAATTACATCAGCTGAAATGGTTTAGGAATCAGTTTGGAAGGCAGCACCAAATGACAACTCTCAGGATTCAGTAGCATTGTTAAAATCTGAGTCCTGCCATGTACACAATGGAGAACCTTCTCACATCAACACCAGAGGCACTCTAAGTGGCCAGCTTCAGATCAAAGGAAATTTAGTATAATGCCAAGTTTTTAACTTTGTGGGGTTCTTTTATATAAATTATAACTGCATTCTCAATTTGCTTCTGACACAATAAATAAAAAAGTAGTATCGAGCCATGGCAAACCGCAGTTATTCAAACTACAGCAATTCAAATACAGCCACATTAGCTGAGATGGGATGGACATCCGTTTGGGAGAAGGCACTGTTTGCTTGCCACCTTTTCCCTGGAGATGTGCCTATTTTTATCTTGGCCTATCCAGGCCTTGGCAAAATTGAAACTAATCCATCCTACATCCAGGATATAATTCCAACTGGACACATTCCCAGCTCACACACAGAGTAGGAAGCGGCACAAAACCACAGCAGGTTAATCTTATTGGTGGATTTTAAAGCATACTCCCGCTGAAGTACAAAAGGTCTCACAACACAAAGACGCTGCTCTGGCTGAGAAATGGTTATATAAAAATGCAATGGTTGCTGTTCTCTGTATCACATTTATGTGATTTTCTCCTCTCCATCTCGGCCAGATAAGATGGATGTTTCTTGGCTCAATGTGTAGCTGAAAGGTACTTCTGTCAGGTCGTCTATACTTGTACTAATCCAATCAAACTGATACTTATATAGTCAGATGAGAATAGGGGAGACCTGAGTTCAAAGCTCTCTATTTAGCCATGAAGATGAGTAAGCAATCTTGTGCCAGGTGTCATATTTTGGATAAATCTACATCACAAGGTTGTTGTGAAGATAAAATGCAGCAGAGGGAGAGATGATAATGCATGCCACCTTAAGATAAATGGTTGGATGTAAGTATAATAGAGTGAGCCTGTATGATGTAGTCATTTGAGAATTGGACTATGATTCTACAGAACAAGGTTCAAATTCCTTCTCGGCTACGGAAACTCACTGGGTACCCATGGGCAAGACATATACTCTCTAAAAATCACAATATAACGTCACCATGGGTCGAAAACCACTTGAAGTCACACAACAAAGCATAATTCAGACTAACAAAATGAATTTTAATGGGGAGAAATGTACAGTGCTACACATAGGCAATGAACAATAAAAATAAAACACACATATAGAATAGGTTATACTCATACTTGGCTTGAAAACAGGGATCTAGGAAGGATGTGAAAGGGATCATGGAGTCTCAAGCCCCTTCCATTCAGCTGTAAAAAATCCACATTGAACTGGATCATATGGCAGTGTGGATTCAGAAAACCCAGTTCAAAGCAGATATTGTGGATTATCTGCCTTGATATTCTGGGTTATATGGCTGTATGGAAGGGCCCTTAGAAGACCATAAGATGAACATGAGTCAACAATATGATGTGGCAGCTAAAAATACCAATACGATTCTGGGCTGCATCAAGAGGAACACAGTTTATAGATCGGGGGAAATCACAGTCCTATTCTATTCTGCCTTGGTCAGACCTCACTGTGTTCACTTCTGGGCCCCACAATTTAAGAAGGATATGGACAAGCTGAAAAGTGTTCAAGAAAGGGCAACCAAAATGATCAAAGGTTTGGAAACCAAGCCCTATGAGGAATGAGCAGGAGATGTTTAGCTTGGAGAAAAGAAGGCTGAGAGGGGACATGAGAGCCATGTTGAAATATTTGAAAGAATGTCACATTGAGGAGGGGCCAAGCTTCTTTTCTGCTGCTCTGGAAACTAGAACATGGAACAAAATAATTGCCGTAAACATTAAGAAGAGCTTCCTGACTGTAAGAGCTGCTCACTAGTGAAATATGCTGCTGCCTGGGAATGTGGTGGTCTCTCATTCTCTGGAGGTTTTGAAGCAGAGGCTGGATGGCCATCTGTCAGGAGTGCTTTGACTGTGTCTTTTTCATAGCAGAAGGGGATTAGTCTGGATGGCTCTTGCAGTTTCTTCCAACACCATGATTCTATGAAATAATAAGGCCTCTTTTTTCAATCACTGAAAATATCTCTGATCTGTCCATATTTGGGGTAAATGAGAAAATATTATATAATTATTGCTTCAGTAAAATAGAGTTGTGTTACATTATGTTTGATGCACAGTTTGCATTCCCGATCAGGCTTTTATGAAGACATCCAATTGCTTCTTGGATGCGTTTCCGACTGACACAATTGTAATACCTCCATCTCCTGGTGACACTTACAGCTCTTGGATGATGTAAAATTCCTTTCTTGTCTCAAACGTGTCTATCAGTTGCAGGATATTGGGGTGACTCACCCTGGAAAAAGAAGGCGAAGATGGGTTAGTTCTCCCTCCTCCCACTGGCCCCACGGCACCAGCCTGACCATAAATCTTCCTTTTCCCAGTTGCTCTGCCCGGTCCTTGATTCCTGCCTCCTCCTTCTCCCATGTGGAGTTCTTTCTCGCGTCGCCTGTCACCTACGAGTCTGGCTCTGTTCTTTGCACCCGGGGGACCATTTCTGCAAAGAACGAGTCAGCAGAAACCCCTGCCTGCCCCTAAGGCTTTCTCAATTATTCATGTCTGGCCTTTAAATCTTTAAAGAGGCTAAAAACAGCATTTATGATGTGGGGCAGATGAGGTGCCTGGCTTTGAAGGTAAGCAGTGTCACTTGCAATTTAGAAGATGCTATCTCCCTTTTGCCTTTTTTTAAAATAAAAAACCTCCAACAACTTTGTCCTTAACCTTTCAAAAGGCAGCTGTCTGGTTTACAGAAGTTGAAACCAAATTAAAGTGGGGGGAAAAATATCAATGTCTTCTTTTCTTCTTGTAAGCACTTCTATGACAGGAGGATAGTTTTTGTGAGCTTCACATTCTTTATGCAATTGCTAAGAGAGACTAGGGATATTAGAGTTTATTAAAAGGTCTGGTAGTTATCGGTAAAGCTGTCTTGAAGAAGTCTGAAACCTTTCAATGTAATTTGACAAAATTAAAAATCAAAGCAGAGTTACAATCTCTGATTGGCCTCTAGGGATAGAAAAACAATCTGTCCTAAAAATTGCAGCTTCATATTTTTCAATATTTCACAGATGAATATTGGGACATGTATAGCTGAGTAACCAGGCTGGTAGCACAGCTGGTTAATCACTAGCAGCAATAAATCACTGCTGACTGAAAGGTGGCAAGTTTGAAGCCCGAGTCAGGGTTGAACTCTCAACTTAAATAGCCCAGCTTACTGTTTACCTAAGCAGTTGGAAAATAGCTGTGCTGTGAGTAGAGAAATTAGGGACCGCTTAAAGTGGGGAGGTTAATTTATGACACCATAAAAATGCCAGAGAGCAAAGAGGAAATACTATGATCAAAAGGCTTGGCATCATAGTGGATGAAGCGACATCTCCCCCTGTGGCCAGAATTGAGCAACCTCCAGAATCTGAACTAAAAGTGGAAAAACTGCTGAGTGACCTCTTTCTGTCTGGATGTCTTGCATGTAAAAAAAAAAGGCATTGAATGTTTGCCGTGTATGTGTGCATTGTAATCCGCCCTGAGTCCCCTTTGGGGTGAGAAAGGCGGCATATAAATACTATGTATTGTCGAAGGCTTTCATGGCCGGAATCACTGGATTGTTATAGGTTTTTTCGGGCTATATGGCCATGTTCTAGAGGCATTCTCTCTTGACGTTTCGCCTGCATCTATGGCAAGCAGCCTCACAACCTCTGAGGATGCTTGCCATAGATGCAGGCGAAATGTCAGGAGAGAATGCCTCTAGAACATGGCCATATAGCCCGAAAAAACCTACAAGAACCCAATAAAAATACTGTAAATAAATAAATAAATGTCAGGATGTGGTCAGAAGGGCCAGGTGACAAGAGGGAACAAATTACCAGGGAACATTTGCAGATTTGACAAAAAATGTCCTGCCTCAATAGTGGTGGCTCCTTCTTTGGAAGCTTTTCAACAGAGGCTGGATGGCCATCTGTTGGGGGTTCTAGGTACTCCAGCAGAAAATGTAGTCCTTGTTGACCTGGGCAACGACCAATCCAGTATAAAATTTCTTTTTGTTGTCATCACCATGGTTTTGGGTTAGTTTTGTTATTGCTGTTGTTATTATATTTATATTTAAACCCCACTTTGTCTCCCCAAAAGGAATTCAGTGCTGCTTGACATAAAAGCATTCATATGCAATTTAAAATATACAAAAATCCAAACATTAAAATTAGAATTAAACATAAACAGCACTAAAAAATTCATAGTTAAAATCCATCAAATACAGTTTAAAACCACGAGCAGTGTTCTCTCATGTAAAAATATTGTGCAGATTTTTAAAATTTGCATTTTTCCCATTGTTGCGCGGGTCCTGTGACCTTAATCCCAGCGAATGTAGAAGTATGACTGTAATCTCACTTATACTGCTCCACTGGGTCTCAGTCTATGAAAGGGAGAACTTACAGAATGGTTTCTATTTCAGCCCCCATTTCCAGAAGAAAAGAGTGGCCCAGAATAATTGGGGCATTGACAATTTTGCATATTTGAGTTATTCCTGAGTAATCTGAATATAGCTTCCTTGGATGGCCTATATTGTGATGAACTGTGGAGCTGGCACTGTCATTAAGCAAAGTGAGGTGGCTCTCTCTGGCAACAAATAGAAAGAATGGACATGTTGGATGACTTAAATATGTGTGCCAGACATCTTTACATGGTGGGTGGAGGTTGCCATCTTGTTTCTCACACATATAGCGAAATGTTTGGGCTGGCCCTCGAGGATTGTCACATTTCTCCCCTCACCCTCCATAAACTGGAGCTTTTAATAGGAGAGAATTTCCCCATCAGGCAAATGTAATGAAGATGAAAGCTTTTATCTGAAGATTCATTTCCATCTCATTGCAGAGTTACATAAAGGCACACCAGTCTTTGCCAGGAAACAAAATGTAGAGGCAGTAATCTTATGTTGTTGATTGCCATCAAATCAACTTCAAGCTATAGCAATCTTATGAATAATATACCGCTAAGACACCCCCTGTTATTAACATCCCTGCCAATGTCTTGCAGCTCAGGACCTTCCTTGAGCCTCTGTGAAATGTTTTCATGTGCCATATTTCATCGCATAATAGTTGCATTTTTGGTTGGAAAAAGGGAGTGCGACTATTCTGTGATGGAAAAAATCTGTCTTTAATTCTCCAGTTTCAGGTTTGTTTGTTTTTTAAACCTGCTTTATGTCTGAGACAGGAGGAGGAGGAGGATCCCAGCCTCAAACAAAGAGTTCTGTTTTTGTTTTGCCTTGCTTTTGGAGAAAGGAGGAAGGAGGAGGGAAGATCTGAGCTCTAAAGAGCTCCATTAAAAAAATTAACAGCCTTACCTTTGGAGTTTCTCCAAAGGGAGGGAGGATCCGGGCCCCATGCGGCTGTGTTAATTACAATATTACATGCGACAATTACGTGAGGAAAGGAAAAGTATTGATTTTAGAACCCCAACAAAGGGGTGCAACTATTAGTTAGTGAAATACAGTACCTTCTGTATTTCTCAGGTAACCTGTCTCTTTCCCCACCAGCTCTATGTTGCTGTGATTGCAAACTGAACATTTAGCTGCAAGGTGAACCATGCTTCGGTGACCATGAACCCGTTGTATGTCCTACCAGTTTGAAAGGAGACTTCAGGGAGTGTTGTTATTTACAGAAGCACAACCTGATTCCTCAACATGACAAAGAAACGCATGCATTTTCATGCAAGTGAAGGGAAGTAGTGGGCACACACTGGTGTAATGTGCACCACCACAACACATTGTGGGATACTTGCTCACATTTTAGGATGAGGGAGCCCAACATCAAATCATCTCAATTGTCAACTTCCCTTCCATTCAAACAGCAAGCAAAAATGAGGGCCATTTTAAAAAGATTCTGGCAATGCCCTGGAGATGCAATTCAAAAAGATATCTTGCATTTAATTTAAAATGGCGGCTCTCATAAGAGCCTGGAGCAAGCATCAGTGGATTCTGTTGAAAGTGCTGAGTGTGTATTATTTCTCTCCCCCTCTCTCTCTGACACACATACAGATGCACATGGTACTTACAGCTTCAGGATGAGGATTTCATTCTTGGCTGCCCTTCGCACCTTGCGCCCATCTTTCTTGAGAAACTTCTTGCAGATGTACAGCCTGTCCGTCTGGCGTTCGCGGGCCACACAGATCTCGCAGAACTCTTTCCTGTGGAACAGTGAAAGATAAAAAGAAACCCACTGTTACTTTAGAGACCGTGTTATCACTACAGCAAAAATCAAGCTAGCGGAATTTGTTGTTCCACAGTGGGACATCCAGCTGTTTGGTGAAACCAAGATGTCTATCTCCTTGTCCCATAACCAGAAATATAGTAATTTTGAATTCAGAGGGGTTGTTTGGTTATCATAATAGACTTCATAAACCTGCATATTCAGAAAAAGTAAGAAAGAGACAGTGGGATCCAGCTGTTTCTAAACCTGTGAAAATCTGGATTTAAATGCCACTCAGCTAAAAGGATGAGATTATTGGGTGACCTTGGGCTACTTGCTGTTGTGGAAATAAAGTCTGTCTCTTGGTATGTCTACTGATGAGGAGAGCGATGTATGTTACCTTGTGCAGGACAACAGTAGAATGAATAAATAAAGACAAAACGCCACGGCAAAGTTAGAAAACCAGCAGTGTTGCATTAGGAATGGCAATTAGGCTGGCCTACATCACAGCCAGCTGGGAATAGAGCTGGCTGTTCCATGACAGAATGAGATGACTGCCTCAGGCGACAGATTTTGGATACCACAAAAGGGCAATGAACAGAGAGAGCCAGCATGGTGTAGTGTGGTTTGAACGTTGGGCTTTGACTCTGGAGACCAGGATTCAAATCCACGCTTGGCAATTTAAACCTATTTGATGATACTGGGCAGGTCACGTTTCCTTGCAAAGGCAAACCCTCTCTGGATAAATCTGCCCAAGAAAACCCCAAGATAGGTTCACCTTAGAGTTGTCATATATCAGAAATGACTTGAAGGCAGACAACAACAACAAATGAACAGATAACTATTTAGCCAGTCAGCAAGATGTCTTGGCCAGAGATATTAGATGCCCAACATGGAAATGCTGTGATGTGGTGCTTTTATTTCTCAGGTGCCAGGAGGCCTTTCCTTGCTTCCCAGCTCTGCCTGGACATTTTGCAGCTCGTCCTTTTGTCAGCTGTTTGTCAGGCAAATTGGCTGACTAGGCAAAGACTGAAATGAGAACAGTCTCTAGCACCACTGCGACATGTTCATTGAACACAGTGCGTCTGGTGCCATGGAGAGAGCCACTATAAGACAAGCAAAGGGTCAGAAGCAAGAGCAGTGGAAGAGCAGCCATAAAGGAGGTGCTGCAGAGGGTGTTGTGGCAAAAAGCAAAAGTGTGGAGTCACCAGCACTCCAACCTTACAGCATGGGGAAAACTCATTCAAAGCTGGAAAATCAACAAATGGTGATACATTATGACCAGCATATCTACAGGGGATATGTTCCTAGACCCTCCGTGAATACTTGAAACTGTGGGTAATAGCAAATCTTACATTTCAACTATACTTGGGTCAGAAGCATACCATAGAAATGCACTGTGACCTAGGCACCTTCTACACTGCCCTATATACCAGGATCTGATCCAAGATTATCTGCTTTGAACTGAATTATATGAGTCTACACTGCCAGATAATCTGCAATAATCAGATAATCGGTGATCAGAAACTGGGATATAGGGCAGTGTAGAAGGGGCCCTAGAGAAGCTCACAAACACTATCAGGAGATATTTTTTGGAGTATGGGTACGTGAAATCATGGATGGTGAATCTGTGAATAAGAGGTTATGCTGTATAATGAAAAGAAACTTCAGGAGAACTTCAGAATGTCATATTCAACCACAGGGTTCCCCTCAGAGAGGCACATAAGACTCTGAGCTCTGTTTTGTTGTCAAGCATAAAACCTGGATGCGCCTAGCACTGAGCAAGGATCAACCTAGAGCTCTTTGAACATGGCATAGTATAACACTGGGAAGAGCATTTGGCACTGGCAGAGTTTGAAAGTCACCTTTTAAAATAATTGTAAGGACCCAAAATTTTGTTAGCTACCAATCCCCTAGAACTATAATTTTTGAATTCACTTTTTTGACTCCCCCACCCTATCCACCGCCACCCTCATGTTACTTTGCAGTTGCTTGAAAAAGCAGCAAAAGGAATACACTGCCATCTCTGGGCAATATTTGTCCTCCCCTGTTTAGTGAAACTTTACTCCAACAACCTATAAACAGGTAAGATGAATGTGCCACATTAATTGCACCTTTCTTATTGGCGAAAGAAGCAAATTTCAAGTTAATTCTTAGTTCTAAATGGTTTACTTCAAAACTCTAGGAAATAAATGTCACATGAATGGTTATGTCTAACTCTGGGAACGCTAAAGCATAGTTAGTTTGTTGATGTTTGGATACTGTAGCAGGGCATCCCAAACAGCTGGAGGAGAAATAATCAAGAGCTTGGATTTGTTACAACCTTGAACTTCATTTCCCAGAACATCCCACTCAGGATGTTCTGCACAAAGCATGGAGGCTGGAATATTTCAGGAGTTCAAGAACAAAAAGCAATTTTTCCAAACTCTGGATGCATTTCCCAAATTGTGTTATTATTCAGTTGTTTGCAGAATATTGGTGCATCTACACTGTAGAATTAATACACTACTTTAACTGCCGTGGTTTAGTGCTTTGTAATCATGGGAATTGTACTTTCACAAGGTATTTAGCCTTTTCTGTCGAAGAGTGCTGCCTCCCGGTTGTTGTAGGTTTGTTTGGGCTATATGGCCATGTTCTAGAGGCATTCTCTCCTGACGTTTTGCCTGCATCTATGGCAAACATCCTCAAAGGTTATGAGTGCTGCCCCCCTTCCCAAACTACAGCTCCTAGGATTCCTCAGCATTGAGCCATGGCAGTTAAAGTAGTGTCAAACTGCATTAAATCAACAGTGTAGATGCGCTCTATGATGTTGCTCCCTGTGGGTGGCTTCAGAGACCATAGGAACAGTGGTAGTGGTTTCATGTGCGCCGCCTACTTACGCCCGCAGCAGTTGCCCGATTTCATACTTGTCAGTGATATCGGAGAGGCTGTTGTAGCTCTTTTCATCCCGTAGTCCAATGCAGCCAAACGGCATCCTGGGAGAAAGCAGAAAGAAAGATTATGATTTCTAGTCTAATAATTTTCCTGAGTCATTTTACCCACTCTTTGTGGGCAATGGGAATGTATTTACATTCTACAAATCTGCCTGAAACTTGGCCAACATCACTAAATTTCAGCTAGGTTGCTTTAAAAACGGTTCGGGGCCCACCTATCTTCGCGATCGCATCTCCCTCTATGAACCGGCATGAACTTTAAGATCTTCTGGGGAGGTCCTCCTTTCGCTCCCACCACCATCACAAGCATGGTTGGTGGGGACAAGAGAGAGGGCCTTCTCAGTGGTGAAGTGGTGGCCTTCTCTACCTCTGGAGCACCCTTTCTAGAGAAATAAGACAGGTCCCATCCCTCCCCTCCTTTCATAAGAGCTTGAAGACCTGGTGGTTTAAACAAACATTTGAGAATGACTAGTTCTAGCTGAGCCCCAGATACTGTTGAATATGGACATATCTTTTTCTACCAATTATCCATGTTACTTCCACCTATCAGGCCCTGGAAATAAACAGCCATAGACTCTACCTAATTTCCTGGGCCCTCTACAAATTGCACTTGCCTCGGCCCGGCCTTTTAAATTGCTTTGAACAGGCAGGATTATTTTAAATATATATGTGCTATTGTGATTTATGCTTATATTGTCTTGTCAATTTTATGTTTATGTTGTTTACTTTGTATGTATTGATGGTGTTACTTGGAAACAGGGAGATAGAGGGGTATATAAATAAAGTTTTGTTGTTGTTGTTTAAAAAGGTAAGCAGGTCTCTGTTCCTTATGTCTTTGAGTGACACCTAAACACCAGACTCCAAAAAAACAAATGGAAGGAATTAGCAGATTTTCTTCTTAATCAAAGGGTTGGATCCCCCATGTGCAGAATATGATGATATAAAGTTTTAGAGTTCTTTGAGCTCTGGGTCCTATGTTCCCTTTCTATACAGTTCCTGATGCTCCACGGAAACTTGAGACTAACAGGAGAGAGAAACTGGGTCTGTCGTGTAAGCGAGGTGCTCATTGCATTCATGACCCTTTCTCCTTTGAAAATTCCCTTCATGCCTCGTTAGCATGGCCTTCACACTCCAGAGACAGGGAACAGTTAGAGCGGAAGAATAAGCAATCTCCTTGAGGGGATGGGGACAAAACCCTTGAGTCCTGTCTCAACCCACCCCCACCCTGAAACTGCCCCTATCATATTCTTCCCTGATCCAGGAAATTTCCAGTCTTTGCCAAGGTTGAAGGGGGAACACAGAATCCTGAGGTTCCTTCATTCAGCAGCAGGAAACCTGACCATGTCTCGGCACAATTACCATACCCTCCCTTCTGGTATAGATTTAAGGGCGTTCTAAAAGGACAAAGACCACCAGCATTGAAAGAATGATCCTCCATCATCAACTTCACTAGACTGGCCACGTTGTCCACATGCCCAATCACCACCTCCCAAAGTAGTTACTTTATTCTCAGCTCAAGAACGGAAAACAGTATGTCGGAAGACAGCAAAAGCGATTTAAAGGTGGGCTTAAAGCTAACCTTTAAAATGTGGCATCAACACCAAGAACTGAGAAGCTCTTGCTCTTAAGTATGCTCACTGGAGATCAGCTGTTACCAGCAGCAGCATATATTTTGAATTGATATGAATATAGCAGTGGTTGTCAACCTGTGGGTCCTCAGGTGTTTTGGCCTGCAACTCCCAGAAATCCCAGCCAGTATACCAGCTGTTAGGATTTCTGGGAGTTGATAGCCAAAACATCTAGGGACCCACAGGTTGAGAACCACTGGAATCTTCTTCTTCTTAGGCAATCTCTCGTTGTCCAAGTAGGATTGTCTTCCAAGATTGGTGTACTGGCGGTGAGTCCATAGGTGACTGTGGAGCCCTATTCTTGATCTGCATCTTCTCCCACAGTAAGGGCATTGGTTTCTAGGTGGAAGGCGGTCCCGGTTGGGGTTGGCTTGATGCACCTTCCTCTTGGCCTTTTCAAATTCTACAGCACTGCTGGTCACAGCTGACCTCCAGCTGGAGCACACAAGGGCTAGGGCTTCCCAGTTCTCGGTGTCTATGCCAGAATTTTTAAGATTGGCTTTGAGCCCGTCTTTAAATCTCTTTTCCTGCCTACCAACATTCCGTTTTCCGCTCTTGAGTTCGGAGTAGAGAAACTGTTTTGGGAGACGGTGGTTGGGCATCCGGACAACATGGCCAGCCCAATGGAGTTGATGGCGGAGGACCATCGTTTCAATGCTGGTGGTCTTTGCTTCTTCCAGCACACTGATGTTTGTCCGCTTGTCTTCCCAAGAGATTTGCAGGATTTTTCGGAGGCAACGCTGATGGAATCGTTCCGGGAGTTGCATGTGACGTCTGTAGATAGTCCACGTCTCGCAGGCATATAGCAAGGTTGGGATGACAATAGCTTTATAAACAAGCACCTTGGTATCCCAAGGATGTCCCAGTCCTCAAACATTCTGTGCTTCACTTGGAAAAATACTGCACTTGCAGAGATCAGGCAGTGTTGTATTTCAGTGTCAATGTTGACTTTTGTGGGAGGTGGCTGCCAAGGGAGCAGAAATGGTCAACATTTTCTAATGTTACACCATTAAGCTGTATTTCTGGCATTGGAGAGGGATTAGCTGGTGACTGCTGGAAGAGCACTTTGGTTTTCTCGATATTCAATGACATTGAACCACTGGAATAGGGGGAGAAGCATGCCAAGAGGAAGGCGTGTTGAGCAAACCCTTGTCAGGACTGCCTTCCACCTGAAAAATCAATGTCCTCAAAGTGAATCCAGACAATATGGCTCCAGAATAGGTCTTCATGGTCATTTATGGATCCACTACCAAGACTATACTTCTTGAAGATGATCATACTCGCCATGAGGGAAAACCCATGGAGAGATATGTAAGGGTGTAATTACTTTGAAGGCACCAGAATCAGCCCTATTAAGTACATCGATGGGAGAGCGCCAATGAAAACCATGCACTGCAAGCTATATTTCAGAGGAAGAAACTAGGAAAACCATCTCTGAGCATTCCTTGCCTAAGAAAATCCGATGAAATTCATGTCAACCATAAAGTAACAGGCGACTTGAGGACATCTATGCAGAAAAATATAGAATTGGAAGAGAAATACATCCCCCTATTGCACGCTTGACAAGAATCTCAGTTCAGAGAGACCTTATTCCAGAGATGTCATATTGAAATTAATGAGGCTTAAGTCAAGAGTAACATAACCCAATGGTTCCACTGATAAGTCAGTCTATTTAATATAGGAAATAGGGGCAAAGCAATGTCAGTTCTGGTAAGTACGTGGACAAGGAAATTAATTAGGTTTCTATGACAGGTGAATTGAAAGTTCACACATCAAGCCAACCAGAACCAGAACATGAAACAAAATGATACGATATGTAGTCTTATATAAAAGTCTTCTCCTTATGAAATATTTTGAGGAAAATAAATATAGGAACACACTTAATTAAAGTAGTTTATTCAGTACCACTATGTAACACGATTTTTATTCATGGGTTATAAATGTAATTTCTTAATTGGTTCTATCATAAAACATTGAAAATGTTTATTAAACTGCAAAAACTTTGCTTTTACGGGACATCCTGCAGCACATTTTGCTCTAGTTTTTCAATGAATATCTCATAAGAGTCTCAACCTTGTTTGTGTCAGCCACAAAAACGAAATTTCTGGAGTAGAACAACTACTTTCAATGCAAGTACCGCACAATTAAACAGGAATAACACTTTCAAACCAGAAACAGCATTTTCCAAATTTTGTTACATAGTGTATTTTTAAGAGGACATATTTATAACTATTTTTTTTCCATTTTTCTACAAAAAAAGATAAAATAGCTTTTCCTCCTGAAATTAACAGAGAAGCCAAAGAGGAGTGTTAAATGACATATCATCCCCGTTAAGCCAAAAAGTCTCCATTTTGACCTTGTGTGCCATGGCTCTACAACATGGATCAGACTGCATCTCCAGTAAGATTGCTCTGTTCATAGATGGGCATTAAACAGATTAGGAGCCCCCAGTGGCGCAGTGTGTTAAATCCTTGTACCAGTATGATTGCTGACCAATAGGTCAGTGGTTTGGATCCGGGAATTGCAGGTTGAGCTTCCTCTGTCAGCTCCAGCTCCACATGCGGGGACATGAGAGAAGCCTCCCACAAGGATGGTAAAATATAAAACATCCAGGCGTCCCCTGGGCAACGTCCTTGCAGACGGTCAATTCTCTCACACCAGAAGTGACTTGCAGTTTCTCAAGTCGCTTCTGACATGAAAAAAAAAAAAGATTGGATAAGATCTCAACTGTCATCTAATCTCTCTTTTTTTTTTACCTTGTTCAAAGAAATATAAAAAACTGTGGCTGTATTCCCACGGCCCATTATGGAATCTCAGGAACAGATTCACAGAATTCTGGCTCCAAACTTAAATAACCAGATATAATATCTGGCAGCAGCTGCATATTACCCTAGAGTAAAATGTTCCTGTTTTCTTTCATGGATGCGGTCTATTGAAATTCCTCCAAAGAAAACCAACTCCTGCCTGAAGCCTTTATTTGTTTACCTGCTTGTTTTATTCTCCTGGCTCTTTATCTTGCGAAATGTGATATCATGTAGGTATATATTCATCGGTACAAAATTGGTAGCAAAATTTAGAAGGTGGAAAAGGGAAGAGATCCATGTTTACGCAGAACAGCAACCCACTTGTCAGTTGCCAGATTTTTTTAAAAGAGGCCATGGCTACATCGGCCCTATGTTTTGGCAGCTTTTGTATTCCCCCCCCCCCCCCCGTAATGAGCATTCTGCAGGCTATTAAGTAGAGTCCTAGAGATAGAGGAGTCTCTACGGGGCCATCAATTCCACCTCTCTGTTCAACGTAAGATCTCAAGCTACAGCATCCCCAGCAGGGAGCTGTCAAACCATTTTTTAAGGCATCCAGAGAAGAAAACTTCACCAGTTCTCTAAACAATTGGTTGCATTGCCACACCATTTT